TCAAGACTAAGCTGAGAGCAAAGCACTTTTCAAAAATAAGTTTTGGTATGTATCCACTGTCTGATTTGAAAATTTTAAAGTCAGATACAAACACTTTACCAAATAGTTTCTGCATCATTATCAAAAAAAAAAAAAAAAAGAAAAAAAATCTGGCTGTGGTCCTCTCAAACAAAATAAGAAATAACAAAAAGGCCAAAGAGAAAATGCCCACCTTCCTGGAAGGATGAGAGCATCTTGCATCAAGATACAAGTGAGATATCCAAAAGTCTTTCTTTTTTTAATAACATGCACTTAATTGGGTTACATAAACACACATGCAACTGGTCGGGAAGTTAGATTTAAGGCTCATATATGATCAGAAATCTAAATCCACTGCAGCTTAGCCTCTCACAACCGTTTGGATAAAATGCCTTCAATTACTATTACACCGTCTCTCCTCATTGTCCAAAAATCAATGCGAGGAAAGCCGTGCATCTGTACCCCTATTTATTTTCATGGAGAAACCGAGGCTCCACGTTTGCAAGGGACTGGTCCAAGGTCACTCATAACCAGAGCTTCAACTCCGGGGATTCTGTTCCCAGATTTAGGATTCCTCTTTACAAATCCAGCCTTCCTGGTCAAGGATGTCTGGACAGATCCCCCAAGAGGCGTGGGCACACTGACCTGCAGAGGACTCAGAGACCGTGCCGAGAGCAGACAGGGAACCCAACTCAAGTTCACCCTGAAACACACCCGCCAGGAAAAAAAGCAAGACAGGGGACACTGAATTCCCACTTGATAAACTCAGAATGACGGATGTGAGCTTCTGCCCCACAGAGCAGGAAACGCACAGGAGGACGGTAAGGAGGAGGCGGTAGTTAAGAAAAGGCTGGTGGCTGCGCGGGAACGCGTCCTCCGCCGGGAGCAGAAGGCCGGAGGCGGGGAAAGATGTGCAGCAGGTCGGGCGCGAAGGGGCTCCTTTCTGGGCTGCGGGGGCTGGGCGTCCAGGGAACGCGAGGACTTAAAGTGGGGGCCCAGGGTAGGGATGCTGGGGTCTGGGGTCCGAAGCGGGGCGGTTACCTTCCTCCTCGTCCTGGAAGCTGAGCAGGCTGGCCCGGGGCACCTCTTTGTTCTCTCGCGGCCTCTTGCGCGGCTTCAGCCCATTGCCCGGCTCCGCGCCGCCGGGGAAGCAGCCCCCGGCCTCAGCCCCGGAGCCCGGGGTCAGCGCGGAAGGCGGCGGCGGCCCCGGGCCCTGCAGCGACTCCCCCCCAGGGGCCCTGTCGCCGCAGCCGCCAGAGCCCGGTTCTTCGCCGGTGCCCGGCGGCGGCAGCAACGGTGGCGGCTCCTGCTCCTCATCGCGCTCTCGCTCCTCCTCCTCCGAGTCATTCCGCTTGCGCACGTTCACTCGCCGGGCCTTTCGGAACATTTCCGCGGCTCGCACGGCGGTCTCACACCCGCTCTCACACGGCGGCCCCGGCAGCGGCAAGCTCGCGACGGCGCACGCGCGCACTCCGGGGCTCCAGCCGGATCCCGTCTTCCCTCCTTCTACCGCGCACCACCGAGCGCGCATGCGCTCGCACCCTCAATACGTGGAGAGATCTCCGCGCCTCTCGCGAGAACGTCAGCTTTTTGCGCTGTCCTCTGTCGGCGTGGAGGACTGTTGGCACGGAGCTCTAGGACTCTGGCGCTATCCCACGGGTCACAAAGAGGATCATAGAGACGAGAGAACAGAGTAAGCTCGGTCGTGCTACGGCCGACGGTACTGCAGTGCGTCTTCCGCACTTACGCAGAGTAGTCAGTCAAGCGAGGAAACCTCCGGCCAAGCTCTGGGACGGGCAAAGAGAGGAGGAGAGGAAGGAGGGGGAGGAGAGGGAAGGAGGGGAAGAGAGGGAAGCGGGGGGAGGAGAGGGAAGCGGGGGAGGAGAGGGAAGGCGGGGAGGAGAGGGAAGGGGGGGCGGAGAGGGAAGGGAAGGCGGGAGGAGCCAAAAGGAGAAACCAGGTTTGATGAGGCAAAGTAGGGTCCCAGGATGGATAGTTTTTCCCAAACTGTAGGTTGAGTTGTGATATGGTGATTACTACTAACTCTATTGAGTCACACTTCGTATTTCTACAGCTTTGCTTTGTAGCTACAAAGCACTTTCAAAAGCATTGAATTTCATTTATGATAAATTGTTACCTGGCCTGGTATTTTAGCCCCTTTCTCTGTTATGCCGAAAGCAAAAATGTTTTAGCGTTTTGGAAAGAATGCCAAGTTTGCGAGCAGTTCTGAAACATGGCTAATTTCAGAAACGGAAGGAAAATCGGCTTGCACGAGTGGGGGTGGTTGTGACACATTTCAGCCTTGCGTCACAGAGGTAACAGTCTTAACTGGCAAGGCCCAATCAGGGTACCAGACTGTGAGGTTGAACTTACAGGCTTGCCGGTCGTATCAACAGACTTGAGGCCTTTTCCTTCACATGTGCAAGTATATGTGAATTCGTTTTCATGTCTCAAAATTCAAAAGGTTACAAAGGGCATTCGTATAGTGAAAAGAGCCCACCCATCACCAGAAGCTTTCCAGTTCAGCAGCAGTTAAAATTCTCATGATCCCCCTGAGATATTCTGTGAACATAAAAGCAAATAATTATGAATTACCTTTTTTACACATGTGTAAATTATGTTTTTAGTTTAACATAAATTGGAGTTTGGTTCGTGTCCGTACATAAAGTGTTGGCTTTCCTTCTACCCAGCTGCATACCGATCCATTGTTGGAATGTACCGTAATTTATTAAACCAGCCCCATAAAAATTGATATTAAGGTTATTTCTCATCTTACTATAATATTCAGTGCCACAATGAAAAGCTCTGGAAATTGGTCACATCTGGAGAATGAAACAGAATTGGAAGTGCTAGATCCAAATGTGTGCATTTGTAATTTAGCTAATTCTAAATTGCTCTTTATAGAATCTGTGCTAATTTGTACTCTTACCAGCAAATATGAGAGTCCCTTTTTGTCCACACCATCCTGTCAAAATTGCACTTAAGAATTAAGCTCCAAGTTGAAGCAGAAGATCCCAAGCCCACCAAAAATTTCTATGTCATACACATCTGCCTTATTTTCTCTGGTTTTCTTTGTTTGGATTTGAGATCTGCCCATCCAGGACCCACTTTTGGAAACTGGAAAGATGATGTAGGCCAAGAGCATCCTCTGTAACATTTTCTTCCAGTTAATAGGAAAAGTTAGTAACATCTCACTCCCATTCTGTTCTCATTACTCTAAGTTCTTATATTCTGGCTGCTCAGCATTGATTTAAATTCTGATTCCAACAGTGTTTCATTGGTGAAATTGAACTCCAATTCCCATCACCGAAGATTCAAATTGTGCCTGATCAGCCTCCAGACACCTGAGCCAAGAGACAGATTTGCAGTAATATGATTAGGGTTAGAGGTAACAAACATAAGGTCCAGAGCAGAATATGTTAATATCTTGGCTTAAAATTTCAAAAAGATCTTCCACTGTAAAAATGGTGGCTGAATATGGATAGAAGGGAGGACACTTGTCATTTAAACATGAGCCAAGATAGTAATAGACAACAAACGTATTTATAACTTTGACAGTCTACCTATTCAGATAATTAAAGGGCGGAGTTAAACACTTGAAAGTTATTTTGCTGCACAAGCAAGCCAAAGGTCCTTTTATAGAGGTTTTAGATCTTGTGGAAATTAAATTCCTGAAACTGAATAGCTGCTTTGGTTGCCTATCAGCCAGTATATTATCCAAACTGATGATTTTATAAAATGCTTCTGTGCTTTGAGTATTAAACAGACTAATTTGTTTGTTGCATATAGTCTGTCATCACCATTTAATTTTGGAAGGTCTTTAGTATTCTGGGAAAACAGAAACAGCTTACATAGAACTGTTCCATCAGTCATTTTGTTTGAATCAATAAGTTAGTTCAATTCTTTTTAAAAAGTCATCTTTCCAGGCAATAATTCTGATTGTTTTTTTTCCCCCACCGAATTGTGACTTTGCATGGGTTAATTGACCCATAAATTCAGATAAAATAGGCAAACCAGTTTCGGGTTTTTTTGCTGACTCAGTATTCGACTCCGTAGTCTAGAACAATGGTTACGAAATGCAAGTCTATGAACCTGTGAAAAGTTTTCCCTAGTCAGCTGCCAAATGAGAAGAGTAAAAACAGTCTGTCTGTGAAGAGTAGCCAGATGTCCTTTCTTGGGGAAAAAATGTTCCTTTATTTTGAGATTGTCTTTCTCTTTCCATGTTAAGATACTAAAATCTCTTTCCTTCTATGAAACAATGATGATGTTATATGATAGTGTGTATGTTTGTTTTTGCATTCTTATTTGGCAAACTAAAAAGTAAAAGCCATGAATCCTAAATTTTTTGTTTTATCTAAAAATTTTATTTTTTATTTTTTTGAAGCAAGGTTTATTGAGGGATAGCAAAGTGATAGTACAAAGCTCCCAAGGAGGGAGGGGACCTGAAGGGGTTGCCCTAAAAATTGTATTTGGCAGGTGAAATCTCATAATCTAGGAATCCCTGATCTAGGAATTTTTCTTTTCTTTCTAAAGCTATAACTCAATAATTCTATTCTGGAAAAATCATTTAGTTATTTAAATATCTTTAGAGCTTGCTGTGCTGAAGGCAGTTCTACATTAACTTAAAGTAAAATGTAAGCTTCACGGGAGAAGATATTTTATGTTTTGTTCACTGCCATCTTCACAACACATAGAATAGCACCTCATACACAATAGATAATAAATATTTGTTGACTGAATAGTACTGTACATTCTTTTTATTTAATTAGTGATAAATATTTCATCCTATGTTGATACAAATTACATTTTCTACAGCTTACATCTGATTATTCTCAAAACAAGATTGCAATACATTTGTTATAAATTCCTGGGTAGGTATAAATTCCTGATCCAAGATGAGCCAATCAGATTCTCCCAAGATTTTGCACTTGAAACTAAGACAACGAGTCCCTGCTTGTGGCTAGAATTGCAATGAACTCAAGAGCCCAAGGGAAGCCATAAATTACCATGTCAATTCAAAAGCTGAGAAAACTAGTCTGTGTAGCAGAAGAGAAGAATGAAGCAGATGTGCTAAAAAGCAGAAGGCAAAATAGCATGACATTTTTTTCCCAAGAAAGGTAAGACAAAATAGCAGAAGACAAAATAGCATTCTTGTGCCTTTCCTGGTTCTTGTTCTCAATGCTTCTTGAAGCAGGACTGTACTCCTGTCTGTGGGCCCCTGAGATCCAGAATCTTTAGAGTAGATTTCTTTTGATTTTGTTGCTGTTGAGGTTGTTTTATTGTTTGTGTGGGTTTGCTTAAAGTACTTCACATTTATTTCCACTAGAATCAAAGAACCCTAGGACCAAAGAATTCTAACAAAATAAACAAGAGTTATTTTAATTTTGTAGTAATGTTAATTTTATCTGTGCAATTTATACAATTGTGGGTATTTTTTTTCTTTCAAGATTTTATTTAAATTCAACTTGGTTCACATATAGTGTAGTATTAGTTTCAGGGGTAGAATTTAGTGATTCATCAGTTGCATATAACACCCAGTGCTCATTCCATCAAGTGCCCTCCTTAATGCCCATCACCCAGTTACCCCATCCCCCCACCCACCTCCCCTCCAGCAACCCTCAGTTTGTTTCCTATAGTTAAGAGTCTCTTAGAGGTTTGCCTTCCTCTCTGATTTCATCTTATTTTATTTTTCCTTCCCTTCCCCTATATTCATCGGTTTTGTTTCTTAAATTCCATGTATGAGTGAAATCAAATGGTATTTGTCTTTGACTTATTTCGCTTAGCATAATACCCTCTAGTTCCATTCACATTGTTGCAAATGGCAACATTTCATTCTTTTTGATGGCTGAGTAATATTCCATTGTACACATATACCATACCTTCTCTATCCATTCATCAGTTGATGGACATCTGGGCTCTTTCCATAGTTCGGTTATTGTGGACATTGCTGCTGTAAACATTGGGGTACATGTGCCCCCTTTGAATCACTATGTTTGTATATTTGGGGTAAATACCCAGTAGTGCAATTGCTGGGTTGTAGGGTAGCTCTATTTTTAACTTTTTGAGAAACCTCCATACTGTTTTCCAGTATGGCTGTACCAGCTTGCATTCCCACCAACAGTGTAGGAGGGTTCCCCTTTCTCCACATCCTCGCCAACATCTGTTGTTTCCTGAGTTGTTAATTTTAGTCATTCTGTCTGGTGTGAGGTGGTATCTCATTGTGGTTTTCATTTGTATTTCCCTGATGATGAGTGATGTTGAGCACTTTTTCATGTGTCTGTCAACCATTTGTATGTCTTCTTTGGGGAAATGTCTGTTCATGTCTTCTGCCTATTTCTTGATTGGCTTTTTTGTTTTTGTTGAGTTTGATAAGTTCTTTATATATTTTAGATACTAGCCCTTTATCCATTATGTCATTTGCAAATAACTTCTCCCATTCTGTAGGTTCCCTTTTAGTTTTGTTGATTGTTTCCTTTGCTGTGCAGAAGTTTTTATCTTGATGAAGTCCCAATAGTTCATTTTTGCTTTTATTTCCCTTGCCTCCGGAGACATGTCCAGTAAGAATTTGCTATGGCTGAGGTCAAAGAGGTTGCTGCCTGTGTTCTTCTCTAGGATTTTGATGGATTCACATTTAGGTCTTTCATCCATTTTGAATTTATTTTTGTGTATGGTGTAAGGAAGTGGCCCAGTTTCATTCTTCTGCATGTAGCTGTCCAATTTTTCCAACACCATTTGTTGAAGAGACTGTCGTCTTTATCAAATTGGATATTCTTTCCTGCTTTGTCAAAGACTAGTTGACCATAGAGTTGAGGGTTCATTTCTGGGTTCTCCATTCTGTTCCATTGATCTATGTGTCTGTTTTTGTGTTAGTACCATGCTGTCTTGATGATTACAGCTTTGTAATAGAGCTTGAAGTCCAGAATTGTGATGCCTCCAGCTTTGCTTTTCTTTTTCAACATTACTTTGCCTATTGAGGGTCTCTTCTGGTCCCATACAGAGTTTAGAATTGTTTGTTCTAGCTCTGTGAAAAATGCTGGTGGTATTTTGGTAGGGATTGCGTGTGTGTGTGTTTTAAGTTTAGCTGCTTAATAACTCTTTAGCTTTACTGTAATTTTTTAGAGAGGAGTTTTCTTTTTTCTCTATTGTTAAGATATCCATACAGATATGTTCATTGGCATTTAAGTCACAAGCAAAAGTGAGGAAAGCTCTTTATCTTGCAAGTCTGTAGTTATTACAAGTACAGAGAAACAAGTAGCTCCATCCAGAGCATATGAACGATCCAATTAAAAATGTTAGAAAATTTCTAAATTATTTGTCTCAAACTCTATTGAAATATAGTCATTGGATCTACTTTCATAAGATTATCTTTTCTATCAAACCATTATTAATGGAATCCAGATTTAAAAGATTCAGGCTTTTAAAAGTTAATAGTTTTTTTTGCCACATTAGAATTGTCAGTAGAGAGATACTCAACTTTTAAGAATGTTTTAGCAATTCAACTCTAGTGGCTATTCCTTCATTTTCTGAAATGACAGTTTCTTCAACAAAAGAAAGTGAAATTTCTTTTCATCCAAATTTAGAGTGTCATAATAAAAGTAAACAATGTTTTATTTCCTTGCATGGAAATATTGGGCTTATTCAGTATTTTTAAAATACATCTGCTATTTAGACCAGGTAATTCTATTATTATCCATTTATTCAACGAATCTTTTTGAGCATCTACTATGTTCTAGGCATTGTGTGAGGCAATAAGAAACAATAATGAGCAAGACAGATGTGTTCTTTCTCCTTCCAGACCTATAGTCAGGTGCTGGAGACATAATAAACAAGTAAATAAAAATTAATTACTACTTGCAGTTAATATTATGAAGAAATCAATAGGGTACTACAATTTAAGAAGCACAAATATAAAATGATAGAAATTTTAATTTGATTCATTTCTTCCCATGTGCCAATGACCATTTAAGTATCTTTATCATCAGTAAATATGTAAGAATTTCTAGGATTGAGGCAGAACATTTTCCTTTAAGATGATTACAATTACTAGCTCCAGGATGACTCCTTGAGTAAACTCTTCTTAAAATATTTCATGTAAAATGAGGAGTAATTGAAATCACTTTATCCAGGTCTGTATTTTACATTTATTTTTTTTTAAAGTAATCTCTATACCCAATATGGGGCTCGAACTCACCACCCCAAGATCAAGAGTCCCATGCTCCTCTGAGCCAACCAGGCACCCGCATATTTTATTTACATTTCTACTATTACTCTGTGAAAGAGTGTAATTTGCAGTCATAGTACAGATATGATATTTATATTACATTCATAGTGGACACTTTATGAATGCATCTAAGAACTATATTACCAATACAAAAGCAAAAATAGCAATTCAGCCTCTCTGAAAGAACTCATTTGTGTTAGCTCAATACCATTCATACATTACTGTCTGTCCTACTTGCGGCAGAAATGAAAAGAAGATACATTATTAAAAACAACAGAGTTATAAGTATCTCTTCCAGGTATAAAAGACAATGTTTCTTCTGTGTTATTGAGTGTTACTAGAGGGCAGCAAAGTGTATAAGAAACATACTAACCTGGGGCGCCTGGGTGGCTCAG